CCATCAGTAGAATTTAACTGACCTAGAAATGGGCTAGATACAGGGTAGAGTTCACATGTCAACTCTGTTCACATAATATATGGTCACAGAAGTTCTTATTGTGTCGATCTTGGCCGATTAGGGTAATATGTCCACTCCATTTTTATTGCTGTCTAAGTTATTTAATTTTTATCAGTTATTGTTACAATCTTGCAGTACTACTAGTAGCTGTCTTTTTGTAGTACATGCCCTGCTTCCTTCCTTTCCTAAATTTCTTACAAGCTCCTCCAGCCTCCTCTCTTACACCCTTTTCACTCACTTCATTTCACTCATTCACTTTATATTTTATTACCACAGTATCTGCCAAAACCAACATGGCCTAAGTAGAAAGGGGCCTTGACGTTGTTTCCCGCTTGGCCCTGCATCCCAAGCTGACGGTTGGCCTCCACTCTAAAGAAACTTACCTCCAGTGGAGGCCGATGGTCAACAATTAGCGATGTAAGAGCTTGGCGAGTACAAATCCTGACCTCCTTTTACACCTTTGGGACGACTTTCGCAAATGCGAGAGGAATGACCCCGAGGAGGGCTCCATTGGTTTTAGTAGGTTGCATATTAATAAAAAAATAAAAATTAAAAAAAAAAAAAAAAAAAACTCTGTACATCATGGCATTGCATTAAGAAGTAAACATGATCTTTAAGATCTGACCGCTTGACTCGTATATCACATAAGTGGTCGCATTACAAGGGGGAAGCTTCGATTCCAAAATCGTATATCGAGAGGTAGGTACTACTAAAAGGTACGGGCTTCAGTAAAGTAAATCGTTGACACACCCTTTTGATCGCAACGTGTAGCAAGTAAACCGGAAAAAATATGTTAGGCTCATAATGATCATAATGATCATTATGCAAACATTCACATGACGATGACTCACCGACTTAAGGAATTGTGCGAGAAGATGAACAATCAACAAAGGCAAAGATAAGGAAATAAAATAATGTGTAATGCGTGTTAGGCATAAGGTAAGTTAGGCATAAGGTTAGTTAGGAGTTAATTTGTTAAGTGAAATTGAATCATGAGATTTGGAACAATGAGAACATTGATCAATTGTTAAGACAATATATACAGACAACATCTCATGAGGGTAAAGGAAATATTTCTATGAACGTAGTGATCAGGAGTGTCAGCTTTATACTCGGACGACGAGCCCTCGGTCCCCACAAAAGATAATCTTTATAATTATAGTTAAGACGAGTAGTACAATCTGTGTAAAAGAACTAATGGTCAGTCTATAAAACACATGAAAAGCAGTGTGCTCCATACCCCTTAGTCTCTAGCTTTGTTATCAAAACACGTGATTCGATCATGTGATGTTATCTCATTGTAAACAGGGTTTATTTGTTTTATTACGTGTAGTATGGTAAAGTATTAACACAATTTAACTAATAATATTATGTGAACAGAGTCGACATGTGAACTCTACTTTGTATCTAGCCCATTTCTAGGTCAATTAAATGCTACTGATGGATCACATCACTAATCATACGTCACTAATTGGTGTCATGATATGATCTCCGTGGGACCCCGAATAATGAGGGGGCCTGGCCGTCGTGCAGCCGGTCACTGTGTGTAGCTGTTCGTTTCTTTAGGAAACGGTCCATGACGTTGTGATGTGATATAGAGTAAGCAGATGATGTGGTGAAGTTACGAATGATAACTGATACACTATAATCGAAGTACGGTAACGACGAGGGTTCCATAACGGCCTGGGTCACGGTCCCGAAAGGGCCTGGGTCACGGTCCCGAAAGGGCCTGGGTAACGGTCCCGAAAGGGCCTGGGTCACGGTCCCATAAAGGCCTGGGTCACGTGGTAACCGGGTCACGTGGCCTAGGCATGAGTTCCAAAAGGGCCTGGCGGGTCACGGTCCCGAAAGGGCCTGGGTCAGGGTCCCGAAAGGGCCTGGGTCAGGGTCCCGAAAGGGCCTGGGTCAGGGTCCTGAAAGGGCCTGAGTCACGGTCCTAAAAGAGCCCGACTTTTAAAATATTTTGGTTTTTAAACTTGCAAATCTTAACGCGAAAATTTCAAAATTATGCGAAATTACGCGGAAAATGCTAGATTATGCGGAAATATGCAGAAAATTACAAAATGTTCGGAAATGTGCGGAAAACAATAAATTATGCGGAAATGTGCGGAAAACGGTAAATTGTGCGATCCCGCACCCATCGCACCTAATATGTGCCTCTGTTCGGCATTACCTGCATTACAATGTAAACCAGCACTTTCAAGGAAGAGCCTTACAAGAAGCCGAAGTTCACTGCACTGCTAGGGCAGTTCACCGCACTACTAGGACAGTTCACCGCACTACTAGGATAGTTCACTGCACTGTTAGGACAGTTCCCTGCACTGCTAGGACAGTTCACCGCACTACTAGGACAGTTCACCGCACTACTAGGATAGTTCACTGCACTGTTAGGACAGTTCACTGCACTGCTAGGACAGTTCACTGCACTGCTAGGACAGTTCACTGCACTGCTAGGACAGTTCACTGCACTGCTAGGACAGTTCACTGCACTGCTAGGACAGTTCACTGCACTGCTAGGACAGTTCGCTGCACTGCTAGCACAGTTCGCTGCACTGCTAGGACAGTTCACTGCACTGCTAGGACAGTTCACTGCACTGTTAGGGCAGTTCACTGCACTGCTAGGACAGTTCACTGCACTGCTAGGACAATTCACCGCACTGCTAGGACAGTTCACTGCACTGCTAGGACAGTTCACTGCACTGCTAGGACAGTTCACTGCACTGCTACGGCAGTTCACTGCACTGCTAGGACAGTGTACTGCACTGCTAGGACAGTTCCCTACACTGCTAGGACAGTTCACTGCACTGCTAGGACAGTTCACTGCACTGCTAGGACAGTTCACTGCACTGCTAGGACAGTTCCCTGCATTGCTAGGACAGTTCACTGCACTGCTAGGACAGTGTACTGCACTGCTAGGACAGTTCACTGCACTGCTAGGACAGTTCACTGCACTGCTAGGACAGTTCGTTGCACTGCTAGGACAGTTCACTGCACTGCTAGGACAGTTCACTGCACTGCTAGGTCATTTCACTGCACTGCTAGGACAGTTCACTGCACTGCTAGGACAGTGTACTGCACTGCTAGGACAGTTCACTGCACTGCTAGGACAGTTCGTTGCACTGCTAGGACAGTTCATTGCACTGCTAGGACAGTTCACTGCACTGCTAGGGCAGTTCACTGCACTGCTAGGACAGTTCACTGCACTGCTAGGACAGTTCCCTGCACTGCTAGGACAGTTCGCTGCACTGCTAGCACAGTTCGCTGCACTGCTAGGACAGTTCACTGCACTGCTAGGACAGTTCACTGCACTGCTAGGACAGTTCACTGCACTGCTAGGGCAGTTCACTGCACTGCTAGGACAGTTCACTGCACTGCTAGGACAATTCACCGCACTGCTAGGACAGTTCACTGCACTGCTAGGACAGTTCACTGCACTGCTAGGACAGTTCACTGCACTGCTAGGACAGTTCACTGCACTGCTAGGACAGTTCACTGCACTGCTAGGGCAGTTCACTGCACTGCTAGGACAGTTCACTGCATTGTTAGGGCAGTTCACTGCACTGCTAGGACAGTTCACTGCACTGCTAGGACAGTTCACTGCACTGCTAGGTCATTTCACTGCACTGCTAGGGCAGTTCACTGCACTGATAGGACAGTTCACTGCACTGCTAGGACAGTTCACTGCACTGCTAGGACAGTTCACTGCACTGCTAGGACAGTTCACTGCACTGCTAGGACAGTTCATTGCACTGCTAGGACAGTTCACTGCACTGCTAGGACAGTTCACTGCACTGCTAGGTCATTTCACTGCATTGTTAGGGCAGTTCACTGCACTGCTAGGACAGTTCCCTGCACTGCTAGGACAGTTCACTGCACTGCTAGGACAGTTCACTGCACTGCTAGGGCAGTTCACTGCACTGCTAGGACAGTTCACTGCACTGCTAGGACAGTTCCCTGCACTGCTAGGACAGTTCACTGCACTGCTAGGACAGTTCACTGCACTGCTAGGGCAGTTCACTGCATTGCTAGGACAGTTCACTGCCCTGCTAGGACAGTTCACTGCACTGCTAGGACAGTTCACTGCACTGCTAGGACAGTTCGCTGCACTGCTAGGACAGTTCCCTGCACTGCTAGGACAGTTCACTGCACTGCTAGGACAGTTCACTGCACTGCTAGGACAGTTCACTGCACTGCTAGGACAGTTCACTGCACTGCTAGAGCAGTTCATTGCACTGCTAGGACAGTTCGTTGCACTGCTAGGACAGTTCACTGCATTGTTAGGGCAGTTCACTGCACTGCTAGGACAGTTCACTGCACTGCTAGGACAGTTCACTGCACTGCTAGGACAGTTTACTGCACTGCTAGGACAGTTCACTGCACTGCTAGGACAGTTCGTTGCACTGCTAGGACAGTTCACTGCATTGTTAGGGCAGTTCACTGCACTGCTAGGACAGTTCACTGCACTGCTAGGACAGTTCACTGCACTGCTAGGACAGTTCACTGCACTGCTAGGTCATTTCACTGCATTGTTAGGGCAGTTCATTGCACTGCTAGGACAGTTCACTGCACTGCTAGGACAGTTCACTGCACTGCTAGGACAGTTCACTGCACTGCTAGGACAGTTCACTGCACTGCTAGGACAGTTCACTGTACTGCTAGGACAGTTCGCTGCACTGCTAGGACAGTTCGCTGCACTGCTAGGACAGTTCACTGCACTGCTAGGACAGTTCGCTGCACTGCTAGGACCATTGCTTCAGGGTTCATTACCAACTGGGTTTTCTAAATAATCAGTATAATAGCTCACTGATTTAACTGCTTTAAGGGCGCTCGTTAATTTTGTAGGTTTTTACCGTCATATCATATTTAATTAAACGGTACGTTTCGTTGACGAGAATAATATATATATTGATGATATATTATAAAGAAAGAAGACACAACTTGTCCATTTTGATACGGCTTAATATCAAATAAATTATTACAAACAACTAAATCTTATAAAGTTTTAAAAAGATTGATATAATCTCTATCAATACCGTGATTGAAGCGTTACTAGCCGGACTGTTACTAGCCGGGCTGTGTTTTTATACTTTCTATTATTCTATTATCTAAAGTAAAACCGCAGCTACATTCTCTTTATCCCCTCTCGCATGCTCACATTTCTTTTATTCTAAGTGAAAGTACTTATAAAAAACAGAGTTGAGAGTTAAAAGTTCTCTTTAGTTTTCTCACTGTGGGCTATATCTCTGTTTAAATTTAACAACTATCGATGTAGAGTGACTTATAGAGATGCTTATGAACAAAATGTTTTGTATCTATCGGCGGTAAACAATGATATCAGAAAACATCAATATATATACTTATCAGTATAGTTGTAATACTAAAGGTTGGGATTTTTCAAGAAAGTTCTAGAGACTTTATTTCTATTGTTGTTTAAGTTCTAGAATAGATTATAAGGCCTTCTCACTAAAAAATGTTTAAATCATAATGAAAATTAATGAAGCTTTATAAGAGACAAAATCTGATTGAAAAACTGAACTTTAGTCGATCAGAATATGTAATATTTCTAGGGTAACGAAAATTACCGTTTAGAATTCAAATTAGATGAAATTTTTACAAAACGTTCTTACCATGCATTTGATTCTGCCCACTACAGACAGGATGAAAATAACTTAAATTTAAAATAAATAATTTTGATAACGTATGGAAATTTCAAATAATTTACACATTATGGAAACAATAAATTAACAATTAAGCAATTATGATTATTATCTATCAACCTAAAATAATTCTAAAAAGACTGGACGGAATTCTTTGATGGGGGACAGTTTATCTACAAAGTATTCAACCTTTGAGCGAGAAGAAAGGACCTCAGATAGTTGATGTTTCTGTTGGTCTGCTCGTACTGCATGTCCAAAGCTTGTCTCTGGTGTTTTCCTCCCGCTGACCGGTGGAGATGTTCTAATTTCATCTGGTCGGTCGGAGTTGCTGTTCTGACAGGGTTGTCTTGACACGGCACTGGGACCGGACTTTTTATCAAACGATTAGTGGAGATCTCTGGAGTTGGTCTTCTCATCTCCTCCTCAGCTACCCCGGGAGAGGCTTGCTTTGGAGAGGTCTGTAGTTGGAGAGTTGGTTTGGAGTCCCCCGAGATCCTGGGCCGGCTTTCAGGGGCCAACAGGTCCGCAATACTGAACGATTTGGGAGTCGGGGTATGGAACAGTTTATCTCGTTGAGTCCCGGTAAGGGGTGTTACAGGCGAGCTGGTTGCCATGGTAACAGGAGACCCGGTTGACATGGGAGTGACTGGAGGAGTTAACGGCTTGCTCCCCATTTCCGGGGACCTGCAGCTGGTCGCCATGGTCACAGTATACGGGCCCGGAACATAAGAGTTGTCCAGAACACTTGTTCTAGTTGGGAAGTGCCTGTTGTTTGCTGCGTTGTTTCGTTGCTCTGCTTTGGTGTGTAGTAGTTCTGAGGTGGGATAGGAGGAGGAGTTGAGGAGGACTGAAACAGGTTCACTGGTCCCTCCTGATCTGAAGCCGTTAGAGGAGAGCCTGTAACCGGACTGTTTGGGAGTCAGGTCGGAGAGTTTCAGGAGGGATCTAGGACAGGGGGATTTGGTGGAGGTGGGGGTGAAGGTACCGCCCTGATCCGGTTCAGGGCTCCCTGTGGAGTTGTTGTCTCCAACAACGTCTACCTCGTCTCCACTTGAACATTTAGGTCCTGGTAAATTATGCTAGGTTAGTCTTGAGTAATTGGTACTGTGAAATTAAACTGGAATTATACTGGAATTAAACATGGAATTACCAAGAAGAACACTACCGAACTGTGTCTCCCGTTAAATAACTCTATAAAACATAAAACATGTTCAAACAATATTTCTTAAGATAACTGGTAAATGTTGCATAACCAAAATCATCAACTGACCACTGCTATTTTAAAAAAATCATAATTAACTAAGCAAATTCTAAAACCGTGACGATAAATCATTCACGCGGCATCGTACTCACTACTAATGACAAATAATGTAAAATGTAAGGTTCTCACCTTTAACACGTCTCCTCCGTCTCCTGAAGTTCCCGTTCTCGAACAAGTCCACACAGGCAGAGTCCAGAGCCCAGTAGTTACCTTTACCAGGATCGTTCTTATCACGTGGTACCTTCACAAAACAGTCGTTCAGGGACAGGTTGTGTCGGATGCTATTCTGCCAACCCTGGAGGAACGAGATGTTTAAATATTGGAATTGTAGCGAGAGGTCCTAGTAGCTTTACATTAAAAGTAAGCTGTCTAAAAAAGCTTTATTTAGACTGAAAATGTTCAAAAGTAAATTCAAGAACAATATCGAGGCACGCAGTTACACTTCCTTACCTGTTTATTCTGCCTGTAAAATGGGAACCTATCCATGATGTACTGGTATATCCCTGCAAGGGTGAGTTTCTTCTCCGCAGAAGATTGTATCGCCATGGCAATAAGAGCTATGTAGGAGTATGGGGGTTTGGTGGGTTGTTCCCGTTCTAGTCTCCGAGTGTAAAGTGATAGGGCCAGCTGCTCCTCCTGGACAAGGTTACATTATTAGAACACACATAGAGTTAGAGTAAATAATAATATAGAGTGCAAGTCTGAAATACAGTTGCACCGATATTAGCTCTATCACAAAGCATCTTATAAGCAAATGCAGTGCTGATTATATAGTTGACCACAGCATAACAAACTAAGTGCTCCAACAAGCAGACCGACCTGTGAATAAAGGAAGGGATAATAGGAGGCCGGGAGATATCCTGCTAGATTAGGATATCCCGCTGCCCGGTGGATCAGAGCTGACGGCAACATTTCAAGTGTGGTGACGACAAGTGGTGACGACAAGTGGTGACGACAAGTGGTGGTGACAGTTGCAAAGTATCAAACTAGAAAAACTCGCTGCCGAGATTTGCGAATCAAAAAGATGTGACGGATATAAGTGATGCTCGATAATTTGAAAGAAGTGGTACTGATGAACGCGTTACGAGGCACGTGTTTATTAAAGTAGCCCACGTGACGAAAACACAAGGTCACGTGGGGGAGGGCGCGTTGCGATCATGAGAACTTGCTTTATTTTTACGATATGAAGCACCGCCTCAATCACGTGACACGCATGTTTACAAGTTAATTGTTTTGATTTGAGAGAATGTGAAGGTCGTAACTTGCTAATCAGATATAGGTGTGACAAATTAGGTGAAAGTAATCCGATCACATGACCCATCCTTGCCAATCAAGAAACACAATCAGACTGCTACATTCGAAAAAAATACCTCCGTAAAGTTATCATTTGAGTCAGCATGGTGAGATACACTTTAGGGTGGGGGAACAAGCAAGGTGACCATATGTTAAGAGGCCTAGCTCGACTGTTTTGAGAAACAAATTAATTCTTTGTGTGTGCTTGTTGCCAGTTCGATTACCCTTGGTAAACTTGAGGGATATATTGGATACACCTTATAGAGTATCAAGTAGCCAATTAAGAAGAGGATTAGTTTATGGATAGTTAGATTGTTACATATTACAATTCTCAGGGTGTGGCGCTCTGCTGTTTGGATTGTTGCTGAATTTTAAGTGATATTTTCATGATAGAAGTCCTAATAGTTGACATGTTTCTACGTAATGATTTAATAATAGTCAAGCGGTCATAAGGTCTGCATGAGTGAGGGTAAATTGATAAAAACTAACTTTTACAATTAAAACGTATTGCGTGATCCCTCTGTTCGCCTGTGTCCCCCTCTGTTCCCCTCTGTTCCCTCTGTTCCCTCTATTCCCCTCTGTTCCCCTCTGTTCCCCTCTGTTCCCCTCTGTTCCCCTCTGTTCCCCTGTGTCCCCCTCTGTCCCCCTCTGTTCGCCTGTGTCCCCCTGTGTCCCCCTCTGTTCCCCTCTGTTCCCTTTGTCCCCCTCTGTTCCCCTCTGTTCCCCTCTGTTCCCCTCTGTTCCCCTCTGTTCCCCTCTGTTCCCCTCTGTTCCCCTCTGTTCCCTCTGTTCCCCTCTGTTCCCCTCTGTTACCCTCTGTTCCCCTCTGTTCCCCTCTGTTCCCCTCTGTTCCCCTCTGTTCCCCTCTGTTCCCCTCTGTTCCCCTCTGTTCCCATGTGTCCCCCTGTGTCCCCCTCTGTTCCCCTCTGCCCCCCTGTGTCCCCCTCCGTCCCCCTCTGTGCCCCTGTGTCCCCCTCTGTGCCCCTTTGTTCGCCTGTGTCCCCCTGTGTTGCCCTCTGCTCCCCTCTGTGCCCCTGTGTCCCCCTCTGTTCCCCTGTGTCCCCCTCCGTCCCCCTCTGTGCCCCTGTGTCCCCCTCTGTGCCCCTGTGTCCCCCTGTGTTCCCCTCTGTGCCCCTGTGTCCCCCTCTGTTCCCCTGTGTCCCCCTCTGTTCCCTTGTGTCCCCCTCTGTTCCCCTCTGTTCCCCTCTGTTCCCCTCTGTTCCCCTCTGTTCCCCTCTGTTCCCCTCTGTTCCCCTCTGTTCCCCTCTGTTCCCCTGTGTTCCCCTGTGTGCCCCTTTGTCCCCCTGTGTTCCCCTCTGTGCCCCTGTGTCCCCCTCTGTTCGCCTGTGTCCCCCTCTGTTCCCCTCTGTTCCCCTCTGTTCGCCTGTGTCCCCCTCCGTGCCCCTGTGTCCCCCTGTGTCCCCCTGTGTCCCCCTCTGTTCCCCTATGTTCCCCTATGTCCCCCTCTGTCCCCCTCTGTGCCCCTATATTCGTCTATGTTCGCCTCCGTCCCCCTCTGTCCCCCTCTGTCATCCGCTATCCCCATCTGTCCCCTCTGTTCCCCTTTGTCCCCCTCTGTTCCCCTATGTTCCCCTATGTTCCCCTCTGTTCCCCTCTGTTCCCTCTGTTCCCCTCTGTTCCCCTCTGTTCCCCTCTGTTCCCCTCTGTTCCCCTCTGTTCCCCTCTGTTCCCCTCTGTCCCCCTCTGTTCCCTCTGCTCCCTCTGTTCCCCTCTGTTCCCTCTGTCCCCCTCTGTTCCCCTCTGTTCCCCTCTGTTCCCCTCTGTTCCCCTCTGTTCCCTCTGTTCCCTCTGTTCCCCTATGTTCCCTCTGTTCCCCTCTGTTCCCCTCTGTCCCCCTCTGTCCCCCTCTGTCCCCTCTGTCCCTTTATGTTCCCTGAGCCCTTTCACCACTTTGACCCGCTCAATTCCTTTCTGACTATGTCCCTCCTTTGTCCTCATTTCTCCTATTTAGTTTCCTTTTGCCCGTCCCCTCTTTGTTCTGTTCTGTTCCCTTCTTCTCCCTCCATTCCCTCCGTCTCCTCCATTCACATTTTCACACATTTTACATTTACTATGTTACTTTACCTGTAAGAACCTTTTCTTGATTTGACTGTGGGTTACCCAAATGGAGTAAATCTAATCACTGCACAGTACCTACATGTAGAACTTCAATACCACACGTGCTTTTTCAATTGTAGACCAACAAACTTATCGACCAACCATCAATATCCATTTAGACCGTCAAAATATCTTTCAAAGTTAAAAATGGCGAACTTTCCCCAGCACACGCCTAACCTATCACGTGTTATTGTAAGACCACGTGTGAAACTGATTTAAGTAAAGGTGTTTGCTTGTCAACCTAACCCCACGCGAGCCCACCGACCTCAAATGTTTTGTGACACCTTGTATCAGCACGGCTTGCAGGCTGGCCGCTCTGTTACTGGCTGGAACCGTTGACTTAATAACCGGGCAAGGTGGTGAGGTTATTGTCCTGGTTATTGAGTGCGGTGGAAGTTGTCAGTGAAATGAATTGTTTAGAAGTGGGAGCTTAGTGATAAGCTGTTTTTACAAGTGTGATTAAACATCGTCACAGCTTTCAGTCGATAACTGGTTGTCGGTATATTATATTGACGGAAACTAGCTGGTTTTGATAAAATAGTTTAACGATATATTAAGGCCTCAAGAGCGCTTGTAGTTCTCTAAATATGATAAACTTAATTTTTGCAAGACAAATTTCTGCGCCATATAATATTTGATCCATGAATTGGCCTCCACTAAGTAAATATTTTGAATACAATGAAACATTAAATTACTGTACATCACAGAATTTAGCCTCGTAAATTACATGTGATCTCCGAAATTTTGATCTCCGATATCCAATAACACGTGCTTAAAATTGCTCTTCATCTCAGTAGTAAGCCATCATACGGAGAGACAGTGTATAATCAGTTTAGCTACTAGTATTGTTTGTTTTAAAAATAACGTTGCTTGAAATTGATTCCATGATCAAGACATGCTACTGCTATTTATCATTATTAAAACTAATGCATGCGAATATGGGAATCTCTAACGATTGCTCTGCGTATGAAAAAATAAAGAAATTAAAACAATGAGCGTGTCCCGCCCTCATTTAAAATATTCTACTGTTTGCGGAGTAAAATAGACCGTGAGTAGCGCTCGATTATTGGAAGCAGACAATTGAGAAGGGAACAAACAGCGATAATACGGAGATCAGATCGAGGTGCGGTGAGTGAGAGAGAGGTGTGCTCTCTCTCCTGCTTGTTATAGATGCGCCTACATTCAAAACAACAATCTGTCTTGCCTTGTAAAACAGTGCTGCTCACGTGACGGGGGAGTGTCACGTGACTACCCGCTCTCATTTACTGACTACCAGTGCGGAGGGAGACTACCAGTGGTGTGCTGGGATGCATGCGGAGGATAATGTTAACACATGTAGCTCATTGTATTTGTTTTCTTTTCACTGTTCTAGCGTGCGAATTACTTTTTAAGTTTTTGTTGTTAAAATAAAGTGCTTTTTATTGTGTTTCAGCTTGAGGAGGAATAGCTGTTATAGTGTATTACTAGCTACTCGGCTACGTGCGACTATTGAAAAGTATATAATGATACATGTGAACCGATAATCAATTTATCAGTCACTCAGCTGCAGTAAAAAGTAATGTGACGAGCAGAACTAAATAGCTATTTAGGGGGGATGTGAAGAGTAGATTACACTATTTAGTGTGATTCTGAGGGGGAATGTGACGAGTAGATTACACTATTTAGTGTGATTCTGAGGGGAATGTGACGAGTAGATTACACTATTTAGTGTGATTCTGAGGGGGAATGTGACGAGTAGATTACACTATTTAGTGTGATTCTGAGGGGGAATGTGACGAGTAGATCACACTATTTAGTGTGATTCTGAGGGGGAATGTGACGAGTAGATTACACTATTTAGTGTGATTCTGAGGGGAATGTGACGAGTAGATCACACTATTTAGTGTGATTCTGAGGGGGAATGTGACGAGTAGATCACACTATTTAGTGTAATTCTGAGAGGGAATGTGACGAGTAGATCACACTATTTAGTGTGATTCTGAGGGGAATGTGACGAGTAGATTACACTATTTAGTGTGATTCTGAGGGGAATGTGACGAGTAGATCACACTATTTAGTGTGATTCTGAGGGGAATGTGACGAGTAGATTACACTATTTAGTGTGATTCTGAGGGGGAATGTGACGAGTAGATTACACTATTTAGTGTGATTCTGAGGGGGAATGTGACGAGTAGATCACACTATTTAGTGTGATTCTGAGAAGGCTTAGTGCTTGGCGGAGTGACAGGCTTAGCGCCCCCCAGTAATACAAACAGTTGCAGATAATTAACTAATTTAAGCCAGATGAATTTAATTAAGACATGTTATTAGAAATGATTTTCAATTATAGTATTCAACTGTAAGTTTTCCCGGCCTTTTCCGGTACAGGCTCTTTTTGATTAAAAGAACGTGCGAATATTTAAAAATTATAATCATTTTCAGTCGTGACCTTTCCTGAACTACTTTCAACCGAACAGTTGAATTACTGACATAGTTGCACGACAACGTTATCATGAAATAACGTTATCACGAAATGAAATGAAATTGGGGCCAAGACTAAGATTCTGGCGTCAGGCTAGAATAATATTAATACTTTCACCCCCTCGTGTTTCCAATTCCCTCCACGATATGAATAGAATTAATAAAATACTGATAATGGTGTTGTATTTATATATATTGCT